AAACCATTTCAGGTGACTACCTCTTGAAGCTCATGGAGAGAATGCCAAGAGTGTGCAAAGCAGTAATCAGAGCAAAGGGTGGCTATTTTGAAGAAACTAGAATATAAAACATGTTTTCAGTTATTTCACCTTTTTTTGTTAAGTACATAACTCCACATGTGTTCATTCATAGTTTTGATGCCTTCAGTGAGAATCTACAATGTAAATAGTCATGAAAATAAAGAAAACGCATTGAATGAGAAGGTGTGTCCAAACTTTTGGCCTGTATTGTACATTATCATATACAGGGTTCCTACTGTCATTAAATTCCTGGAAAAGTTTTAAGGTCTGGAAATTGTTTGGAATTCAGAGAATGTTTTAGAAAAGATTTGAATATACATTGTTTCAACTGATGTTCAAAAATGATCTTGAAAATCGAAATATGTTCCCTGTATAGTTAATATAAAATGTCCTGCTGCACTTTTTGACCATTGAAACATCACTAGTATCATGTGATTCACACTGGCAAATATGCGGCTAAGTGGGGACGGGAATGTCTAACAAATGAGTGAAGTTAGCAAGCGTTAGCAGTCTCTTATCCACAAATGCCGGGGTAGTGCATGTTTAATAATGTGTGGCTTTTGAACGACAAATACAATACATAGCTCAAGAGAGAGGCAGATACTAGCCATGCTGGATCTAGGCTCTGCACCTGAAGGGAAGACGCATCAAGAGAACCAAAAGGCCCCTCGACAAACTGATAGCGTCTGCACATATTTCACACCTGTTGTATCCAGACTAGAAAACATTACTGCTTTTACCAGCATAACAAGCATCTGTATAGCTGCAAGACATCTTGAGCCAACGCTCAACCAATTAATCGACGTGTCTAATGATCTGCGTACCCATTTTGAATTTAAATTTAATTTATGTCATGTAAATGTTACAGAAAATTTATGGACGTTTTTGAAAATACATTGGTGAAAGTCTGTGGGAACTCTGTATATAATGTTAGTTGCATTATTATATATCAAACATTATTATAGAAATATCGCATAATAATGTGAATAAAATGTTTTTACTGAACCAGAATACATAGGCTGCACTTGCAATAGTCACACTGTCCAGGAAATGTCATATATATGAGGTAACTCAGCCACATCAGGAAGACACTCTAGGATATTAGGGATATTGTGCTAACTGGTTTATTCATTGCAATTCGATACTTAATCACAGGGTATCAAAGGTGCATGTAAACAGTGAAACATGAGGACTGGAGTGTCATCAGTATCCACATTATTCTGTGTATCTGAATACAGCCATTGATAGCTTGATGCTTTGTTAAACTGCTCTTGTTCATCTTGTTTCCAAGACAGCAGTTGGCTGTGTAGACAGCTTCGACTGTGGGGGCACAAAGTGCAAACAGCCCAGAAGCTACTGCTGAATTTTAGTATTTTGTTGCCCTTGAAATCATGTTTTATGCTTGTGTTTCTAGAAAGCACCTGCAACTTGTTGAAAGCTGCATTAAAACCCCATACATGTGATCGCAGACAGTTTGAGGCCAGAGAACATTACCACATGGATGGCAATGGTGACAAACAGTCTATACTTCACTCGGACAGAAAAAGATGGCACATTAGCCATTTTTTGTTGGAATTTAAAAACGAACAATAAATGTCAGAAAGCTTGCAGAACAAAAACATCTTCGCCCCATTTTCTGCTCTGTAATATCAGCTTTCATCTCTTCTTTTTTCATTACTGCGCTTCCTCTTTACCACTTCATCTTTTTGTCATTCAAGGATCTAGAAACTACTGATTAGTTTCTTGGTCACGATGAGGGAAAAAAAGAAGTTATCTCTCAAAGAAAAGCTTTTATGGTTTAAAAATAATGTTTGTAATGGAGTGGATAGACATATATAATGTTCAAACACTTGTGTTTTCCACAGGAACGAAGTGGTTCTCGAGGCAGGAGAGAAGTACAGCTTTAATGACGATGGCTCTGAAATGACATTAATGGATGTTACCAAACTGGATGAGGGCGACTACACCTGCATTGCCAGGAACAAGGCTGGGGAGAGTGAGCAGGAGCTCAGTCTGAGAGTGTTTGGTAAGGCAGAACATTTTATATACATACATGCATGAGCTGAAGTGACAATATAAAATGTTCCAAATGTGTGGGAATGATGTATAAGAGTACGTAGGTGGGGGAAGAACAATACTATGGTTATGTGTCTGTTTTCTAAGGGATACAAGATGAGGTGTTGTTTCAGTGTGGGCTGTGGATGTTTCATGTAAGGATGAAGCTTAAGGATCCAGAGAACTGGCCAAGTGGGATGAGCTCAGCTAAACTCTTTGAAGTCTTTCTCTTTTTTTTTCCTTCTCTTTTGCCCACTAGGTTGTTGTTGTTGTCTTTATTTTTTCATGTAACAACCATAATTTAAATCACAACCACAATATAAGTGCATGTAGTCTCATAAATTAAATTTACAATGAGTTATCTGGTTCAATTTGTTTTCCCAAACAACTGAAATGGCCAGGGCCTGGTTCTTAAGATCTCAACGGGTAAACGATTACCATGAAATTACTGGAGAAGCCTTTCAAAGCAGGTTGTTTACCTTTTTAGCAAGATTTACCTCATTATCTGAAAGATTTTCTTGCACTCACAAAGCTCTGGTCTCCCACCATCACTGTGGGAAAAGCTGCAGTCATGCGTGTCTTGTAAGCTCCCTCCTCTGAATATGGAAGCTGTATTAATGTGTTTTTTTTTTTGTCCCTGATCCTGATCGGAGTTCTTGAATATTTAGTGCTGGTCAATACCAAGTCTGATCAGATATTTTCTTTCATGTAATGCCTCCAAGCTTCTAAAAATGTGGTTTGAAATCTTAGGTATTTCTCTATAATGCAGTAATATCACACTTGAGGTCATATTTCTTTCATACAGCAGTTTTACAAGCGCCATTTATTGGTCAAAATTAATAAGCGACAACAGAGTATGAATTGTTTGTTTATTTTGTCATTCATTTGGCTCCACCAACACAAATAGTTCTGTAGCTGGACGGGGCTGGACTGTTGCCAAGCAACACATAAACATTCCTGCTCACTAGCGTGCTACTTTGCAGGCCATGTTCTTTGTAAAATGGACATTTATCTGTGTGTTTCCATTTATTGTGCAGCCGGTGACACAAGAGTCTGTTGACTCCTGTGTTTCTGTTTGCCTTCTTCTGAGAGCCATTCATAATTTAATTCATATGTGGACATATGTTAATTTGCAGTGCAGAGTTTGTTAAAACAACCGTTACTGTAGGCTAATTAATGTTTTAAACACCTGTGAAGTGGAGTGCATGCATAGTTAAAATTTGCAGTGTTGTTGACTTTTATACCATCACTCATAGAGTAAAAGTAATCAATTACTTGGTTGGAACTAACTGTTGTATAATATTCAATAATTCTGACTAAAACAGTTAAAGTAACGTTAAAAACAAAAGTATTCTTTAGGCCCATTCAGACTTGATTTATATCTTGAGGGGAGGCGGGGTGATTTTAACTCTACTGCTCACTGATTTTAATTCTGTCCGGAGTGCTTCTGTGGGAAATATTCACCCCAACCTCAGTGATATTTACAGCTACAATTACCCACTGTTTTTCCTCCTGTAAATTTAAACCCTCTCCCGAGCGACCTCCTTGTATTTTAAAGTGGACCTTTGAGTTTTTTCTCCATGAAGAGAAGGTTGTTTCTCAGCTTAATTTCTTGCGGGGGTTGTTTTTTAATCAGCTTAGTGTGAAATTTGGCTTTTAGGTGAAAATGGAGTAAGTCAAAAATGTTATTGCTAATCTGGTGGATGAAAACATGCCGATGATCATGAAAGATATGTTGAATGAAAAAAAATGATGAGACAAAACACTGTAAAAGCTGCAGGTAGCTATTTTTTTAACTTATACTGTATTTCTTTGCTTTTTTGTACTTTTTTATGACATTTTACTTTTTAATGTACCAATAGAAGTGCAGAATTGCTGTTGGCAGTTCTCGTTTGCAATGTCCCTGTAGATGAACAGACAGCTATAATTGGTTGTGATTGTTCTCACGCAATTTCTGAAGTGTCTTTTTTAATGATTTCTAAGCAGGTTTATTGACATTAATTTGCAACAGAAAAGGCAGATAATGATGTCCTCGGGAAGTGTAAGTCACACCGACTGATATCAATATGTGTTTTTTGTTTGTGTGTTAAGATTTGACTGAGTTATGAGTCTGAGAAGGAGTACAGTTTTTAACTCAAATTTGCTTTTGGCTTTCTCTTGTAGCTTTGTTGTGCTGAGTGTCCATGTCTATCACAGATCACATCCTGTAACTTTTAGATGGTTAAGATGCTGCCTGAAATGATCAGTTTAATTACTGAAGACCACCGTGAATATTTATATCCCCAACACCCCCTGTAATGTTCATCCTGTCCGTATGGGGCTTTAAGTGTTATTTATCAAGAGTTTTAACACTCCAAACCCAGCTTCATCAGGATTGTGTGGGTGTGTTTTGATCAATTTGATTGACAGTGCTGGCAAACAGCCTCCCAACCATCATTTGATTTAGATTCAACTTGCTAAATTCTAATTAGTGAAGTATGTGTACCTCACCCACTTCAAACCACTGAGAAGAGCAAAGACAAAAAAGAAAAACAGACATTTTCCCTGTGAAATAACCACACTGATCTATCTTTAAGTGAACACATGGTGTGTCCATGTACGACCTCAAAGTAAGAATCTAATGGAGAAAAAAGATTTTAAATAGCGCTACACTTAAAGTAGTAAAGCAAATTGTTTGAGCTGCTAATACCTCTGAGCTCAGATAAGATGTTTGCATCAGCATCTTTGGCAAAAAGATTCTAAGTTTGTGAGCGTGGAGCTACAGAGGCAAATTCAAATAAACACAAGAAGTTTGTGCTCTAAGGTTTAGGCTGGATTTCTTTCTCTCCAGCATGAACAAAATACTGAAGTTTAAATTCAGTTGTTTGACAGCAGCAGGCGCTTTTCAGAGGCGTCATGCGCCTGCCAGATACTTGAAGCAGCTTTGCTCACTTTACTTGCTGACACACATCAAAAACCACTGTCGACTCTTTATTTGTTTGTGCCGTTCCATGCTGCTATCAGCTCACATGGCGGCGTCCTAGAAAATGGGTCCAGTGTTTTAACCATGACCAGAGTATCAGGAAATGGGTTAATGTAGCTGAAAGTATCAATTAAAAAAAATAACAATCGGATGTTGCTTGTTCATTCAAATATGTTTTTGTGTCGAAATGACAACACAGCTGTCCAATTTTTTATTCAACAGTTATCGGCTGAGATAAAAGCATTTTAATACAAGGTTTCGATTGTTTTCTGATGGTAAAAAAATTGAAAATTATACAGCATTTACGACATTTCCTTGAAAATGTACAAATGCATTACCTAATCCATGCATTTATCCTTCATGGAGTGCAGTGATAAATATGAAAGCACAGAGTAATGCTCAAACTCGCACGTCAGAAGTAGCACTTCAATTTGCTCCGCTTTGCTCATGTCACAGTTGTGGCACCCTGTTGCGCTTTCAGGTTAGCTCAGGTGTACTGTAACTCGACAGTTCTGTCAAATGTAAACAAAAATGAAGACCGGCTCCTTTGAGATAGGCTAAATAAATTATTACATGAATTAAGTCTGGATCCAAACGTGGTTATCACAACGTTGCCACTGCTGGGACTGGAAAAGCTTAAATAACAGTTTGACTGCCATAGAAATCCCCCGTCACCTGTCAAACTACTGATCCTCCTCCTGCCTTTGAACTCATCCCACATCCACTGAGTTGTTCTTTTACTTATTGTACTTGTGCTGCCAAACCACCTGGCATGTCTTGTTGAGCTTGTGCCGTTGTGATGACTTTGTTTTTGTTTTTACAGTCAAACCTAAGATCACGTACATCGTAAACCAGAGCATTTCCGAGATGGAGGAGCAGGTAACGCTGACTTGTGAGGCGTCAGGAGATCCAACGCCCACCATCAGCTGGAGCGCCGGTGAGCGCGTCTTCACCGAAGGAGAGCAGGTAAAATAATAAAGGCAGTATGGATGACAGAAGCTCGATATCTCAAATCCTAGGTATTCAGTTCTGGTCCTTGTGGGCCGATGTGCTGCAAGCAATTTTCCTCCTGGAGTTAATGAACCACACGTGGTGCAAAGTAGACTGATATTATCTGTGTCCCAGTTGCATACTATACATAAATTCTAACCTCTCAGTTTTTAAGTAACTGGTTCACGCTGGGGAAATTAGGTGCTAAAACCATTTGGTATATGATGAACTAAAGGGGGAAAATGTGAGATGATGAATGGTGTATTTTCTCTGGTGACAGCTTGTAAAGTAATTCATACTGAAATAAACATTTACTTCACTTGCAGTTTGTGACGATTGTAAATTGGAAATTAAGGACATGTTTCTGAAGTTGTAGCTTGACTGATATCAATTAATCTCATGCATCCTTTCCTGTATTTCCAATATGAAAAGGTCCATCTTGTACACTAAGTTCGTTATAGTAGAGTTTATATTTCATTATGGTGTGGAATTGGGACACACTGAGTAGTAACCACCAGGGAGGAATACAAAGCTGCAGGATGCCGGTGTCTCAGGGAGAGGAATTGAATACCTTTAACCTGAATTCAAGAGGTATATTGATCATGCAGAGGTGGGGGACTTCTGCAGCTTCCTCAACAAGGTTTCTGTACTGCTGATTATTTCCCCTAAATTAGTGGCTCCTTCGAGACGGCCCAGAGGATCTCATGTAATTAGCTTAGCGATACTCAGCCTGTAATGTGGAGTACACTCAGATTTGACTCGAGTTTTCCCAAATGTCAAGAAAATCTGCATCAGAAACCTAATTATAACATTCCCAAAATAAGCATGCAATTTGAGGCAATAATTAAACTTTGTCTGCTTCTTATTGTACAGCATTTGCTAGAATGGGCACTTGGACAATCAAGTGTTTGTTTAGCATTTTCAATCCCCATTGTCATTATTCTGCTCATGCTGGGGATTGAAAAGTTTAATTTAGTTTATCTATGGATATTCTTTTACCATCTTTTGAATTTGTGTTGAGCTGGACCAACCATTACATTCCTGATACTATGTCCTCTTGGAAATGTCTTCAACAATACTTCATGTGCAAACCATTAAAAACAGTGAATACCTGATTGGTATTCTCGTACATCTATTGCCCACATGGCCTTCTTCTCCAAGGTCTTGGTGTCTTGCTACAGTTGAGAGGTAATGAGGGGGAAAATGCTTCAGAGATATACTGAAGTTCATGGAGGAATTCTGGAGCCAGTCCATTACATGCACTACATTTTCTTCCTACAGGCACATCTAAACAGGATCTATCAGGTATGAAATCCGCGTGGCACAGAAATGTACTGGAGTAGTGTTGCATAGTATGCCTCCAGATTTGACAAAAGCCCCAGTGAAATCAAATAATCCCTTTTTATTGAAAATTTCCAAGCTGTTTCTTGAAAACCCCAAGGAATGATCTCATCAGAGTTCATGAAATTGATTCGAGTGCTGCATGCTTCCCAAATATATAGCTTGAAAACTTCACTGATCTTGTGATAGAAAGTGCGTGGAGCTTATCTCATGAGATCAGATGACAATTTGGTTAATAACGTAATAAAAGAAACGCCATTTCTGTGTCGCTGTTGCCTGATCATTTCAAACTTTACATCACAGCATGAGGTTGCCTGGATCTAAGCCCAGCTCAGTCTGTCCGTCATCTCCATAGTACTGTAGATTGTCTAACATTAATGTCGGTATCACTTGAAAATGGAGGGTAAAAGTGCTCCACCTAAAATCTTTTGAGTATCAAACCCCTGCAGACAAAAATATAGAATATGAGTGTTTGAAACGCAGCGATCATAGAGGTGGCCGGTGGAGAAGTGGATTATGCTGCAAGAAGTGGTTTAATGGGCATTTCTCCAACTGTGAAAACCGGTTGCTATTGGAATCCATTGTAATTGACATGATTTCAAGCAGACTGCAGCCACTGTGCCACCTGTCAAGCCTCCAGGGCTCAGTGTTTGATATTCAAAAATAGGTTTTGAGTGAAGCATCACTTTGAGTGCAAAACACGCTACCACCATATGACGCACGTCACGACAGGCCTATTTTTTTTTCCCTCTGTAAACCCACACACCCACAGTGGAGAGGCTCACTGGCACACATGGACGCAGAGCCCAGTAACAGTTTACACCTCTGTCCTGTTATCCTGTATAGATGTCCTATGAGAAGCAGCATTATTTTACAGAGCACACCTCCCAGCTGCTGTACCTAGATTTCCTCCTCTGTCAGTGACAGATCGTCTTATTTTGTGGTCTTGAAACTGTCATAATGGATGTGCAGACACTCATCAGAGGGTTAGAGTAACTCTCAGAGCTCAGTATCCCACCATTATATCTCATAGAAGATCACCTGGAAAGCTGTACTGTAGGTGTGAAGATTGACTCTGTGGATGCTGAGGAAATAAATAACACACAGAGGCTTTTTGTTATTAACAGGAACAGAAAAAAACAGAATATCATGTAGCCCTGTTGACATGCAGCACCATGACATGTCACATGGCATGTCATGTGACGCAGAGCTGTGCCGTGGTGGCAGTGTGTTTTGCATATTAGTCTGCAGTATGTTTTGTGATCTGTGACATCTCTTTACTGCAAGAAATGATTAGCAGCCTAACTGAGTGACTGTAGTAAGAGTAGATGCAGATTTCTTATATTTTCATTTGTAGTTTTATCAGCAAGGGAGGTGGTTTCCATGGTGGGTCTCTAATGAATGCATGAGGAAATGGCTGCTAATTGTTTAATTGTCTTGTTCTGTTTGTTCATCTGATGTCTGTCTGTCATGCTATCTGTAATCATCATAACAGCTGTATTTCATCCAGGATGGTGTGATAATAGAAACAACATTCGTTTGGGGTGGACATGCTGAATTTGGAAAAAAAAAAATGCAGCTGTTCAATTTTTAAGCAAACATTTTAGAGGTTGTTAAGTTCAGGATTTCTCATTAATATATTGATGGGAGATTTCGTATCGGTCAGAAAACCAGTGCAGATCTGTACTGTGCCATTTTAGATGTGTGGTGGTGATGAATATACAGAATTAATTAGCAGTTAATTTGAATGTGTTTTTCAGTCTTTTGGCTCCTTAGCTGGTCAGCTGCTTTCATGTCTTGATTAAATGGTACCGTGCATCAAGGACTTGGACTTTGTGGTGCAGAACTCTATCATCATGAGAAGATGAAGTTTCATTCCTGTACAGTTCCTCACAGCAGTGATGTTTTGTTCATTGTTAGACAAGAAACTCAATCGCATAAAGTAAGGGGATTACTGGAGTAATGTGAAAAATCCTCACTGGTGTGTAATACAGTTAGTTTTACAAAAAATTTACTTTTCCTTTTAGTTACTGCATACTGCTTAACGAGGAACAGACATAATGATGTTCTGTTTAACCAAATGCATTAAAAAAAAGCACTGTGATGTTAAGTTTATCTGCCCTGACTGCAAAGACTGTGAGCTCTTTACTCAGCCCCAATATAATAAGAAGGATACCGACATTTGTACATGTTTATGCCGTCTCCTATCTTTAAAGCTAGAATAAAGCCTTCAACAACTTAAAAAAACAAAAAATCAATTTAGCATTTACGAAAGGTGCTCTGTGGAGTATTCTTGTAAATAAACAAAGTTTCTGTTTACATCCAGCATTATTTACCAAAACGCATTTAGTGTCTCCTTGAGGTCAAACAAAAATATTTGCAATGCTAATTTTTTCACAAAGTTTTGAAACCTAGGTTGTTTACATCCATGTTAACTTTCTAGCCATCTTCTTCTTTCCTGCATTTGTAGTAGTGTTTTATGTGAAACCATCGGCAGGAGTGTGTATGGCATCGCCCATATGCACATGCACAGGCATAACAAAATGTGGACTATTGTTCCATAGTGTTAGTAGTGTTCAGAGGGTTTCCACTGGTCATGAAAATCCCTGGAAAAGTTATGAAAGTAGAAAAATCTTCTCAGGCCTGATTACTGTTTGGAATTAACAGTATTTTTTGGAAAAGTAAAAAAAAAAAGAGTAACATTATACAAAATAGGTTCCTTGTATTACTCATTTAAAATCTAGTGTTGCGCTGTGTGACTGTTTAAATGTCAGTGTACATAGACTAGATCAATATGGCATCATCGCAATCATCGCCAGCTCCCCCCCCTTTTGGAGGAATAGGACATGCTGTCACATAAGGAGAGAAATAGCAGAAAATGAGAGAAAAGCTGTTGTGTGGCGCCTTAGCCAAGGCTTTACACTGAGATATGAGGTACACAAGATGCATGAATATTCTCTGTCATGATGCTGGTGACAGTTACTACTGATAGAAACCGGTAGCTGCTTGAGTGGGAGGCTGCTGCAGATCAGTCATACAGTAAAGCAGTATTAGATTGTCGTCTCCAACTAGATCCTAGCATATAGATCAAACAGTTGTTTATTAACAGGTTGGTTATTTACAGACAACAGTCAGCCTAATGATACCGGTGATTGAATCAAATATACATATTTTATTAAATCACCGAGTGAAGGGATCCGGACATCTGCGCATGTATAAATGTCTGGCTGAGCAATATCCGGCCATGGTGTTAGGTGTTGATCCAGTTGGACGTGGGGGAGACAGAAGGAGCGTGACAGCTGTCAGCCTTATTTTATCAAGGTAGCGCAAATGCTCAGGTACAGGCAAGGTCAGAAAACAATTATTAGCCATGTCTATAAAACAAAAGTTTGTTTAACAAAAAGGATACACATACTTGTTAAAATTACAATCCATACACATACACTGGTCTGGTCTATTGGCACATGCATCTAGTTGGCAGCCGGAGTGTCTAACTAGCAAGTAAATTTAGCAATGCTAGCAGTGCGCTTCTCCGCATATGCCTAGGAAGTGCATGTTTGATAATGTATGGCTGTATCTCTACATAGGCCTACCCATTTTAAACAAGTGAAATAAAGTCATGAAAAAGAGGTAAA